AGTGAAGTGATGGAAACAGCTACAAGTAAGGTCAAGGGCTCATTTTGTTCACAGTATCATCAGTGTGACAACCCGTTCCTCCCATCCAGCCCCCAGATGAACAGATGTCACATATATAGACAGACCTGGTGACTCTTTATTTGGTACCACTGCTGCCACCATTCCAGTATTCACTCCTTGTCTCTTCAAAAAGAAAAGCAGGACTTGTGGCACCTTAGTGACTAACACATTTATTTGAGCATCAGCTTTCGTGCATCCAATGAAGTGAGCTGTAGCTCACGAAAGCTTATGCTCAAATAAATGTGTTAGTCTCTAAGATGCCACAAGTCCTGCTTTTCTTTTTGCAGATACAGACTAACATGGCTGCTACTCTGATCCTTGTCTCTTGTAGGCTTACACTTCAGGGTTTTAGCGTTTTCTCCCCAGGAACTGGAATCCCAGAGATGCACTCTAGCAGGTGGTAATTATTATGTGGCATCACTTTGAGAAGCAGCAGTCAGGTGTCTAAATAACTTAGTAGCACATATCAGACTTAGCCTGAGAGCTAGTGAAAATAACATCTTATTTATTACAGTAAGAACAAATCTCATCTAATATGGAACTAGAAGCATTAAAGAAATAGTTCTATACACAGAAACTGCTCACAGATGTCTATGTCAGTCTGTCTTGAGTCTTAATTATTTACAGATCTACAAACTTTGTGCCATGACCTGTCTGTCCTGAATAAGACTCTAGGGACGTACTCTGTGCAGATAGCCACTCCTAATGCCACAGCCACACTGTTGTTTTTAGTGTACTAGCTCAATCAGAGCTAGCGTGGGTACGTGTCAGTGAGCTGGGAACTATAGCTCCAGCACCAGTGTAGACGGTACCCTTAGAATCCCTTTCAGCACCTAACTCTCCCCATACAATACGTTGGGAGCTTGGCTGCCTAATTCAGGCTGTGAATCCCACTGGACAGTAGGGTGCTTAGATGTTAGGTGTTGCAATGCCTACATACCTTTGTGCATCTAACCCTAGTAAGCTCCGCAGTGAAGGGACTGTCTATCACTGTAGGTCTGTACAGTGTCTAGTGCAATGGGACCCTGTTCTTCATGGTTTCCCTCCTAGGGTAGATGTGTGAGGCCGTGCTCAGTTATAAGGTTTGTGAAGTGCAGAGAGCTACTCCTATGAGCCAGCTGCAAAGCTTACTAAAGGGTAGGAAGGACAGCCCAGTGGCTAGGAAGCTGACTTGGGAGATGTAGAATCAGTTCCCTGCTCTGCCACAGATGCCCTGTGTGGTCTTGGTCTTGTCATTTAGGGCCAGATTTGTAAGGTATTTAGGAACCTAGTGGGATTTAAACATTTTTTTTTAAAATCCCACCAGGCACCTATGTCTATAGGAGCCCAAACATCTCACAAATCTGGCTCTAACACTCTGTCAACCTCAAAGAGCCATCAGTTACATGGAAGGTGAAATAACCAAGATGATAAACCTGGTTCGCTCCCAGAACAGGTCAGATAATAAGTGGACCATGTGAAAGGAAAACAGAGGTGTGGTGGGTTGCCCTACCTGCACTGCAACCTAACCTGGGACTCAGACTCAGGGGAGATGCTATCAGAGGTGATTTGAAACCAAATACAGCAAGCTGTTCTGGTCCAACTTCAAAGAGGGAATCTAGCTGCAGGATAGGGATTTATATTAGCTCAGTTCTGAAGACACTGTCTTCCTGCAATGCTGGAAAGGAAAATCCCTGCTCTTTTAAAGTAACTCTGGCGGTTACTAAATCAGGCTTTCCAAAAACTCTTTATCCAATGTTTTATTAAAATGTCCTTGTTATTTTTAGATTACTAGGTTTTAAAGCCAGAAGGGAGCGTTCTGATCATGCAGTCTGACCTCCTGTACATCACAGGGCCAGAGAATTTCACTCAGTGATTCCTGCATCACCCCCAGTACATCATGGTTGAGCTAGAGCAGACCTTTTTGAGGAAAAAAAAAACCCTCCAACATTCATTTAAAGATTCAGGTGATGGAGAATCCACCAAGTCCCCTGGTAATCTGTTCCAACAGTTAAAATACACTCTGTACAGAAATGGCAATTTCCTGCAATATTCTTGAAAAAAACATTATTGAATTGAGGTCCAATGCACTAAATGCAAAGTTTAGGTATTATTGTGCCTCAGGCTTGCAAGTAACCTCTCTGGGGGGAAGATGGGATGTAAGGCCTGGCTGATCAAAGGACTATACTGAACAAAATGCCAGACAAGAATGGACTTTTGGGGCAAACAAAGTCAAGAGGTTTGCTTGGGGAAATCTCCATGGGGAGGTGAATGCCAATCCCCACTCCACACTGTTACGCAAAATCCCAGCCTTTAGAAGCTACCTTGTGAAGAGTGAGCCCCTGTTAACTGATCACCTGTTTCATGAGGCCAAAATCAAAGCCACAAGCTGCATCAAGGAAAGAGATACCTGTTCATGTTGGTTCTGGTTCAGAATCAGAGATAGTTGTGAACTTGTAACCATAGGCAAAACCCATTGTGGGTTTTGAAGGACTGACACCTACTAGGTTGGAGTTATGGGGGAGTGTCATGGGTCAGGTACACCGGATCAAAGGGCATCAGGTTGTGGGAGGATCAAAGTAGAGATTTAGTGGACCAGTGGCCTGAGGCCATGCAGCTGCCCCTCGGTGCAGGGCAGCGTGGCCCGAGCAGCTATGGTCAGTAGGACAATCCTTCTGCTGTGCAGTTCACCCCTCTAGGTGTCAGCTGCCCCACTGGCAGGGCAGGGGGACCCAGGCCCACCACGCTCCACCAGCGCGTCTACAATCAGTCTCGTCACTTGGTACCTTAGTCCTGATCCTTAGGTCGCTTCCTCTCCTTCCTTCCAAGGCTGGTAGTCTCATGCCCTCTGCTGTCTCTCCGGTGTTGGCAGAGACAGTGCTTCACTGGAGCCTCAGCCAGGTTGGCTTCTGGAGCTCTGGCAGTCTCTCTCAAAGGACCTGCAACACACATCTGTTCTCACTAATGGCCAGCCTAGACTGACCTGAGCTACTCCCTTTTATACTCTGGTTCCAGCTAGAGCATGCACAGCAGGGGCATGGCTGCCTCCAGCCACAGAGTGTGGTTAATCCCTTCTGAACCAGTTCAGGATATGTACACCCCATCACAGGGTGATCTCTGGTAAGCTTATTAGCATGAGGGTATGTTCCTTTATTGCTTTATTATGTTTTCTTTGTAATGTTTTCACCTTAATAAATATGCTTGCTTAAAAAAGAGCTGTGTGGTAACTTGTAACTGGTGGCAATTACACTACTTACAGCCCTCTAAGAGCAAACAAAGCACAGACACTGGTCTATTTAGGCAATCTGGCTTGCTGGGAATATCACAGTGCAGGCAGGGAACCATGCAGTCTGGGAAAAACCGCAATCATGAGGGAGAGACACATGGGTCTCTACTGAAAAGAAGTGATGACTGAAGAGCTGGGAGCTTAGAGCAGGTGCCCTTGCGGGACCAGACAGGGGGAATACAGGTGCAGTTGCCCTGGCCTGTGACACACTCATTATTAAAACTTTGCCACGTTTATTTCCAAATTGAATTTTCCTGACTTCAACCTCTAGCAGTTGAATTTTGTTAACTCTTTGCTGGACTAAAACAGTATTGTTCTCCTTGTGTACGAAATTACAGACAGTGATCAAGTCACCTCTTAGCCTTCTCTTCAATACACTAAGGGTTAGGGAACCAGAAGGTAAGCAGTCTTGCCTAGTGGTCAGAGCAGGAGTCCTGGTCAGGGAACAGCACTGAGGGACAGCATTGACAGATTTAACTGCCAATGACCAGAGCCAGGGGTTGAGACAGAACCAAAGCTGAGGGCTGGAGCTGGGATCAGATACCAAATGTCAAAGCCAAGGGTCAAACCGAGAGCTGGAGTTAGAGGTCATAGCCAGGATTGGTAACCGATGGTCACCAGTGAGCTGTAAGGCCAGGAGCTGGAGGAGAGGCAAGGATCAGGGGCACGGTGGGAATGGGGAGTGAAGGCAGGAGTGAGGCAGGAGCCAGGAGCAGAGCAGGAATCAGGAACAGGGTTGGGTGCAGAATGCAGGCACGAGCAGGGTCCAATGCAGAAGCAGGAAATCACCTAGTAGCTCAACTTCCTGTGCCTTTTTCTGGCTTAAACAGCCTGCTTGGACCAACTGGTGGAGCTGGGTGATCCTCCAATCAGGGCTCCCATGTGTGGTGCCTTGGACGAGGCTATAGTCCTGCTAGCTCCTGGGACCCCCACATTTCAGCAGACATTGGGTGGTGGCCAGGATGCGACAGCTGTCTGGGGATGCGCAGGCCTGCATTTGAGACCCAGGGCATTGCATCCATTACACTGAGCTCCTTTAATCTGTTTTCCAGACTCTAAGTCACTCTTGTAGTTCTTCTCTGGACCCGCCCCAATTTTTCAGCAACCTTCTATAACTGGGCATTGTATACAGGCTGTGGTCTCACCAGGGCCTTACACGAAGATCATATAATGTCCCTACTTCTCATTGATATTCCCCTCTTCATACATCTATGGCTCGCATTAGCCTTCTTAGCCACAATATCATACCCGAAATGAGCACGTATTCTCCTTTTCAGCCACTGCTTTCCAGGGTACAGTCCCTCAGCCAGACAGCATTCCTAGATGCATGACCTTGCATTGTGCTGCATTACAGCTTCTATTGCTTGCTTGCATCCAGCTTATCGAGCAATACAGATTTCCCTGTATCAGGGACCTGTTCTACTCATTATTTGCCACACACCCCAATATTTGTGCCATCTGCAGACTTTGCCGGTAGTGATTTTAAGTTTTCTTCCATATGACTGACAAAGACACTGAATAGCGTTGGGCTGAAAACTGATCCATACAGGACCCCACTAGACAGACCCCACTCTTTGATGACTCCCCATTTGTAAGAAAAGCTCCTTGGCAGGAAAATGGAAGTGTAGAGGATCTGGGGGTAGCTTAATGGTAGGCAAATAAATGACAATAATAATCTGCTGGAAGTTTGGACTTTATTATTCAGGTTATATTTATATTCATCCATGCAGAGCACTAGATGAATATGCAGATTCTCCCGATAAGTGTCTACAGTGAGGAAAGGAAGATTAGCCAACTATAATCAGAACATTTGTCAGTACAGATGATGACAACAATAGATAAGACAACGTCTCCTCATCTCCCTTCTCACACAGATCCTCACACACTGCCCGCTCCTCCCCTCACACTCCTCCTACAGTTCACAGTCACTCATTACCCTCTCAGGAGGGGCTTCATTATAATCATTCTAATTATTGCTAATTTAAAAATTCTGAAAGGAACAAAAGGAAAAGGAAGGGAAAGAAAGGCACCATGGGAGTGCCCCACTTGAATGCCCTATAACTGATTACAGTCAGGCGGGATATAATGTCGACCTGGGCCTGACTCTCTCACATTGTGTGGCACCAAGTTCCTGTTAAATCCAATGGCAGCTGTGTGTATGTAACTGCAGGAGAATCAGCTCAGAGATCTGTTCATTATGCATTGCAAAGCGCTGATGGCATTCACAATAAATAAGATTGTCAAAGTCCATGCACATCACTGCGTGTTAAGCTTGGATTCTCTTTCCATGCCATACACAATTGCTTCTTCCTCAGGGTAGGTTTTGGCAGCTCTGTTTTGCACAGTGATGATGATGAGGATGCTATATATCGCCCACTAGCAGAACACTATTCTTTGAACAGCAAACGGATCTGGTCAAAAAAGGAAAAAACACAATTTCACAACAAATTTATTTTGGTTTGAAATGAAACCTTTTCCAGTTTTCAGGAATTTTGTGCATCGTTTCAAATCAAAGTTCTATCTAAATTTTTATCAAAACCAATATTGCCCTTATGTTTTGCCAGAACCTGACTTTTCGATAAACAAAAAATTTTGATTAAAAAATGTCAGTTAAAAATTTCTCCCAAAATTCCAGCGAAAATGAACAATTTCAATAATGACAATGTTTGTGACATATTTCACATGGGGAAAGAGGCTATTTTTTCAATAGAAAACCTTTTATTTAAAAAATGGTTGTCCATCTTTGATAGCAAAGAAGAACAAATGGCAACATTTTCAAATGTTGATGCCTACGGTTTGGCACCTAAGTGAGATTTTTTTTTCAAAGGCACAGATGGGACCTTTCACTTGTAAATGGGCAGGTCCCTGCTTTCTTGTTGAAAATCTCCCCCTTCAGAGATCTAATGCTGGCCACAGTTCCTGCCCCAAGGAGTTGAGCATCCACATACACTTCCTGTGGCCTGGTGGACCAGTTTGGTGTGAGAAGAAATGAGTATCAATGTGTGTGGGACAAAGGTGGGAAGGGGCTGGTGAGTACAGCTAATGGAAGCAGGGGCAAGGGGTGCTTTGCTTCTTTATTTTTATTCCCAATAGCCCTTTGAACAAGGCCAAGCCAGTGAGCCGAGGAGACCAGAAAACACATGGAAGAGGCAGACAGTGGGAAGTTGGAAAACCCAAGCAGGATAAAGGATAATTAGTTATTGACAAGCTGAGAGAGGTAGTTTGTAACTTGGGGAACACAGAATAATTAGCTATGAGGTAGAAATCAGGAGGAGAAGTTAGTGAATCCAAAGAGGAAGAGGACGCTGCAGACCCTGGAGCAAGAAGGGTCTGCTGGGCAAGAGGACAACAGCAGAGGCACCCCCAGAGGAGGGCACTATGCCTGGCCAGAGCTAATCCCCAGGACAGCTAGGAGGTGCCACTAGCAGGGAGTGTACCCTGTGACAACAACACAGTTCACTAGAGAACTCTCTGCCACAAAATATCATTGAGTCCAAGGATTTATCAGGATTCCAGAATGGACTTGACACTTAAGGATAATGAGAATAACACTGGTTACATCAAACAGGATAAATAATATGTAAGATATAAACTCTCCTGCTTCAGGGCATAAAGTATGATGGATTGATAGGATTTGGGAGGAAATTTTCCTCAGGGGCAGGTTATTTCAAAACTGTCCGTTATAGGATTCCAGCAATTTTCTCTGAAGCCTCTGGGCAGTGGGTACTGACCGAGACAGAATGCGAGACTACGTGGGCATTCTGAAGTGATGTGGCAATGCCTTTGTTCCTAAAAGGGGGATAATAAAGCAAGACACTGAGAAGGTAGGTTTAGCGCTGCCACTGAATGACAAGCAGAATAAATAATAGATGACAAGGCACAGTCAGAAATCTCATTCAGTAGCTACTTTGCCCCACTTTCCAGTAGGTAGGATGACAGCAGCAGGATGACTTATGCAAAACAATTAAAGAAGAAGGGAGTGTTCATGAGGCTGGATCAGGCAGAAGCAAGTTAAAGGGACCAGGATGACTAGATCTGTATTCAAAACAGGATGCTCTGAACATTCACCCTGGGATGCTAAAAGAATAAGCTGAAATGGTATCAGAACCATTGGCAATTATACCGGAGATCTTCTGGAGATCACAGGGCTTGTTCTGGACCCACTTACATTGATGTAAATCAGGAGTAACTCCATTGGAGTTGCACCAGCATCATTCCAGTGTAAGTGAGGTCAAAACTGGTCCCTGGGGAACTGGTAAAGACTGAACCTAGCCCAGGTGTTTAAGAACTGAAAAAGGGAGACCCAGGTCTTTACAGAACAGGGAGTTTAACTTCAACACCTAGCAACTGACTGCAATTAACACAGGAGTCAGACTATACATTCCAAGGATACCTGCTGGGCTCATGCTCCAAAAACAGCTGTGTCGACATTGCTTGGACTGGAGATCGGGGAGCCCAAGTTTCAGTCCCAGCTGCAGCGGTGAAGCACTGTCTACACAGCTGTTTTCAGTGCGCTAGCCCCGCAAGCCGGGGAGTCTGTCGACCTGGGCTGGGAGGCTTGCTCCTGTGAGCTGTGTACCTCAGGAGCTCCGTGCTTACAGCTGAGGGCGTGGACAAAGGTGAAGCTCTATGACTCGGACTGTGCAGGTAAGGATCTGAATGGGAGCACGTGGATGTGGTTGAAACTGTGTGGGTGAGGATGACACTGTGGGTGGAAAGCGAACCTGGCTGAGGAGGATGCAGGGGGGCAAGCAGTTGTGTGAGGGTGTCTGGGAGAGTGTGGCAGGGAGGGGGTGTTGGTGCAGGTTGGAGAGCGATGCAGGGTGTTGGTGAGGTCATGCTTGGATGTGAGTGGAGTGTGGGTGAGGGGTAGGCTAGTTGGGTGCGTATTATGGGTGAATTCGGGAGCATGGGGTGCAGTGAAAGGCTGTGGCATTGTTTGTAGGGGGAGCAGATGTGTCCCAGGGTGGGTAACTTTGACATGCTGCCCAGGATGACTAGTTTGCCCTGTTTTTGCAGGCGGTCCCTCCCTACCAGAAGAAAGTGAAGGTAAGCTCCATTCTACTCTCCCCATGCCCCAGCAGGGTTCATGGAGAGATGCAGCTGTCGGTGCTAGAGCATATGTTTGCTTCAGACTCTGAAGGCCCATGCAGGTCAGCGCTTTCTCAGGGATCCTGTGTTCTCCTTGCGTTTCCATAGGATTTTTAAACTCTGCAGAGCCCAAGCATGCGGGCTGCCACTGGTGCTTCAGAACCACCGGCTGTGTGTACAGAGGGCATTGGTGGGAACATAAATGTTCAGTGAAAGATGCTTCAACGTCTGAGGGAGGCAATGACTCAGCTGACTAGATTTGCATTTAGCAGCGGAGCCTCCTGGTCATCCCAGTCTCCTCTCTGGCAAGTGCAGCCTCAGCAGAAATCAGTTCCTTCCCATGTTAAGAGCCTTTTCCAGTTAACCAAGACATGTCTCCAGTTCTAAGGCAAAGACAAAAGCAGGACAACAGGATTAACCAGATCTGCTCACCTAGTGTTTCTGAGTTTGCTTTCTGCACCGGCCAGGATTGCTAGCTATCATGCAGCTCCAGTTTCTCTGCAGCAAACACCCTCTCTTCACTGAGTTGCCTGCAACCCTGCTGGAGAAGCTGGGGCAAAATATTGATCTGATATAGCCAAATGAAGTGAGGGGAGCATGTCCAGGCTTTGTGTCATTAAAGTCTTGTCTATATCCCAAGTTGCACTGGTTTAAATAAAGGTGTGATTTTTTTAAAAAGTGATTTAGTGATTCTATTAAACCAGTACAAAACCCTGTGTAGAGGCTCTTAATTCAACTGAAATTTGGTTTAGGTTGTTTTAGCTGAAATTGTTAAAAACCAGGTTTAAACTGAATTCCGAATGGCCACACAGGGTTTTGCACTGGTTTAATAGAATCAGTTGTTGAACCAAGTTACAGGTGAACCAGTGCAACTGTGAATATAGACCAGGCCCATTGGTCTAGCGGTGCAGTGGCCCAGATTCATGAACATGCACAAGCTGAGGAATGAGCACTATTGTGAGTACACTTTAGCAAATCCGGCCCCATGTGTCCAAACTCCCTTTCCACAGAAGCAATAGATTTATCAACTGCTCTATGCAGAGGGAACAAACCACAGTCAAACCACTTCATTCAGTCAAACACAGTAAATAACATTTCTGCAGGAATTAGGAACATCTCCCAAACCAGGGCTTCAGAGGTTGATAACTTAAAATCTGTCACTTTAACCCTCCATTGCTAATATGTGGCAAGTTCAAGATACAAAAGGAAACATACTTGCCATGACGAACTAAAAGCCTTAAATACGTGTATGCAGCAGGAAAACAAGGAGAGAATGTTCGGTTAGTATTAAGTGTCCTGTTCCTGATGCATGGCAGGGCCAAGAGTCCTCTCCCAGCTCCACCCCTACCCCCAGGAGGGGCAGAGAACAGGCTGTGGCTCCTGACAGGTTGAGCAAAAAGCAGCCTTTGCACTCTGTGGCCAGAGCAGTGAGACTGCTTTCTATGCTCTGCAGGCAATGAGGGCAAAATGCCAGACTCCCCACTGTGGGAAGGGTCACTGCTGACCATGATGTGGCACATCGCAGGCCCCAGAACCTCACCCACCCACTCCTGAAATAGACCCTTAACCTCTGGCTGCATGACTGAAGTCCTCAAATCATGGTTTAAAGACTTCAAATTCCAGAGAATTCTCCATTTACGCTAGTTTAAACCTGCAAGTAATGTTTACCTTTCAACATGACATTTTTCACCTCTGGTGACTGAAGGAATGTAAACTTTTTTTTTAAAAAAAGCTTCAGCAAAAATAAGTTGGACACTTTTGAGGACAAAGAAAGGGGCGGGCGGGGGGGCGGGGAGGAGACACATTTTGGCCATTATAAAAATGCAACTTTTTGTTAAAGCCCTAGCTCCTTAGTGCTTTGAGCCAGAAATCAAAATTTGTCAGTCTGGTGTGATTTGGGGCATATCCATTTCAGTGTGGTGGAGTTAAAGGGTTTATATACGCTGCTGGATTTTCATTCAGTAGAAATCAATCTTCCAATATTTTCTTGGCATCCCCTATGCAAGTTGAGTGGAACTTAGGTCTGCCTTCAGAATGCTCCCCCTTCTCCTAGGGGTACGCACTGTGCCACATTCCATTCATGGTCCACATGCTGTTTATATACAGGCTCCCTCCTCAGTCACTGTGGTTTGGTCAGTGCACAGGCAGGGATCCTGCAGAACTGGGCCTGCATGGCTAATTTCCCCTTGAGGCTATCAATGTGTAAATGTGATGGATGATGAATAGTGACTGAGCCCTGGTCTACACTACGAGTTTAGGTCGAATTTAGAAGCGTTAGATTGATTTAACCCTGCACCCATCCACACAACGAAGCCATTTTTGTCAACTTAATGGGCTCTTAACGTTAGTTTCTGTACTCCTCCCCAATGAGGGGATTAGCGCTGAAATCGACATCGTCGAGTCGAATTTGAGTTAGTGTGGACGCAATTCGATGGTATTGGCCTCCAGGAGCTATCCCACAGTGCTCCATTGTGACCGCTCTGGACAGCGCTCTGAACTCGGATGCACTGGCCAGGTAGACAGGAAAAGCCCCACGAACTTTTGAATTTCATTTCCTGTTTGGCCAGTGTGGCAAGCTGATCAGCACAGGTGACCGTGCAGATTTCATCAGCAGAGGTGACCATGGAGTCCCAGAATCACAAAAGAGCTCCAGCATGGACCAAGCAGGAGGTACTGGATCTGATCGCTGTATGGGGAGATGAATCCGTGCTATCAGAACTCCGTTCCAAAAGTTGAAATGCCAAAATATCTGAAAAAATCTCCAAGGGCATGAAGGACAGAGGCTATCACAGGGACCCACAGCAGTGCTGCGTGGAACTTAAGGAGCTTAGGCAACCCTACCAGCAAACCCAAGAGGCAAAAGCCCGCTCGGGGTCAGAGCCCCAGACATGCCGCTTCTATGATGAGCTGCATGCAATTCTAGGGGGGTGGCCCTACCACTGCCCAACTCCTGTACGTGGACTCCTGTAAGGCGGGAGACTCACGCAACAGGATGAGGATTTTGGGGACGAGGAAGATGATAAGGAGGGGCAGGTTGAAGATAGCGCACACCAGGCAAGCGGAGAAACCGTTCTCCCTGACAGCCAGGAACTGTTTATCACCCTGGATCCAATACACTCCCAACCCAGGCTCCCAGACCTTGAAGGCGGAGAAGGCACCTCTGGTGAGTAAATATAATATAAATGTAAATATAATACGCGGTTTAAAAGCAAGCGTGTTTAATGATTACTTTGCCCTGAAGACTTGGGATGCATTCGCGGCCAGAACAGCAACTGGAAAAGTCTTTTAACGTGTCTGGGGATGGAGCGGAAATCCTCCAGGGACAGCTCAATGAAGCTATCCTGGAGGTACTCCCAAAGCCTTGGCAGAAGGTTTCTGGGGAGGGCAGCCTTATTGTGTCCTCCATGGTAGGACACTTTACCACGCCAGGCCAGTAGCATGAAGTCTGGAATCATTGCATAAGAAAGCATGGCAGCGTGTGGTCCCAGTGTTCTCTGGCATTCAAGCAACATCTGTTCTTTATCTCTCTGTGTTATCCTCCGGAGAGTGATATCATTCATGGTCACCTGGTTGAAATAGGGGAATTTTATTCAAGGGACATTCTGAGGTGGCTGTTCCTGCTGGGCTGTTTGCCTGTAGCTGAAAAAAAATCATCCCCACTGTTAGCCACGTGGTGGGGGGAGGGGTGAAGCGATCATCCCAGAGAATTGGATGTGTGGGGGGGTTAGTTGGGTTTGTGCTGCACGTTAACCTGAAAACATCAGCCCCTCCTTTTAAATGGCCAATGTATCTTTTTCAATTTTAATCTCCTTTTTTTCCCTCCCACAGCTGCAAATGTTTCAACGCTGCAACTAGCATCTTTGGCCCAGAGGCTAGTGCAGATAAGAATGCAAAAAAAATGCACTCACGATGAAATGTTCTCTGAGCTCATGCAGTCCACCCAAACTGAAAGAGCCCAGCAGAATGCATGGAGGCAGACAATGGCAGAGTCCAGGAAAGCACAAAATGAGCGTGAGGACAGATGGCTGGAGCAAGAGGAGAGCATGATGAAAGGAGGCAGGATGCAATGCTGAAGCTACTGGAGGATCAAACTGATATGCTCCGGCATACGGTTGAGGTGCAGGAAAGGCACAGACCGCCACTGCAACCCCTGTGTAATCAACCACCCTCCTCCCCAAGTTCCATAGCCTCCTCACCCAGACACCCAAGAATGCGGGGGAGGGGCCTCCGGGCACCCAACCACTCCACCCCAGAGGACTGCCCAAGCAACAGAAGGCTGGCATTCAATAAGTTTTGAAGTTCAGTGTGGTCTTGTCCTCCCCCCCATTTCCGGGCGACCTTGGCAGTTATCCCCCTATTTGTGTGATGAATTAATAAAGAATGCATGAATTTGAAACAACAATGACTTTATTGCCTCTGCAAGCGGTAATCGAAGGGGGGAGGGGAGGGCGGTTGGCGTACAGGGAAGTAGAGTGAACCAAGGGGGCGGGTTTTTATCAAGGAGAAACAAACAGAACTGTCACACCATAACCTGGTCAGCCATGAAACTGGTTTTCAAAGCTTCTCTGATGCGCAGCGTGACCTGCTGTGCTCTTCTAACCGCCCTGGTGTTTGGCTGCGTGTAACCAGTGGCCAGGCGATTTACCTCAACTTCCCACCCCACCATAAATGTCTCCACCTTACTCTCATAGATATTGTGGAGCACACAGCAAGCAGTAATAACAGTGGGAATATTGGTTTCGCTGAGGTCTAACTGAGTCAGTAAACTGCGCCAGCGTGGTTTTAAACGTCCAAATGCACATTCTACCACCATTCTGCACTTGCTCAGCCTGTAGTTGAACAGCTCCTGACTACTGTCCAGGCTGCCTGCGTACTGCTTCATGAGCCATGGCATTAAGGGGTAGGCCGGGTCCCCGAGGATAACTATAGGCATTTCAACATCCCCAATGGTTATTTTCTGGTCTGGAAAGTAAGTCCCTTGCTGCAGCTGTTCATACAGACCAGAGTTTCTGAAGATGCGAGCATCATGTACCCTTCCCGGCCATCTGATGCTGATATTGGTGAAATGTCCCTTGTGATCCACCAGTGCTTACAGCACCATTGAAAAGTACCCCTTGCGGTTTATGTGCTGGCTGCCTTGGTGGTCTGGTCCCAAGATAGGTATATGTGTTCCATCTATTGCCCCACCACAGTTAGGGAATCCCATTGCAGCAAAACCATCCACTATAACCTGCACATTTCCCAGAGTCACTACCCTTGATAGCAGCAGCTCAGTGATTGTGTTGGCTACTTGGATTACAGCAGCCCCCACAGTAGATTTGCCTACTCCAAATTGATTACCGACTGACCAGTAGCTATCTGGCGTTGCAAGCTTACAGAGGGCTATCGCCACTCACTTGTGAACTGTGAGGGCTGCTCTCATCTTGGTATTCTTGCACTTCAGGGCAGGGGAAAGCAAGTCACAAAGTTCCATGAAAGTGCCCTTACGCATGCGAAAGTTTCGCAGCCACTGGGAATCATCCCAGACCTGCAACACTATGTGGTCCCACCAGTCTGTGCTTGTTTCATGGACCCAGAATCGGCGTTCCATGGCATGAGCCTGCCCCATTGCCACCAGGATGGCCAAATTGCCGGGGCCCGTGCTTTGAGAAAAGTCTGTGTCCATGTCCTCATCACTCTCGTCACCACGCTGCCATCGCCTCCTCGCCTGTTTTTGCAGGTTCTGGTTCTGCATATACTGCATGATAATGCGCGAGGTGTTTACAACTGCCTAGTGATCTGAGTGGGCTCCATGTTTGCCGTCTGGTATGGCATCTGCAGGAGAGCAGAGTTGCAGCAGAAGCAGGAGCCCATGAGAGACAACATGGAAAAATTCACTATCGAGACAAGAGCAGGAGAGCAAAGTGGCAGTGGAAGTGGTGGTTCGATGACGACAGTTAGCAGTCCTACTGCACCGTCTGCTGAAAGCAGTATGGTGCCTGCACAGAAAAAAGGCGCAAAACGATTGCCGTTGCTTTCACGGAGGGAGGGGCGACTGACGACATATACCCAAAACCACCCGCAACAATGTTTTTGCCTCATCAGGCATTGGGAGCTTAACCCAGGCATTGGGAGCTTAACCCAGAATTCCAATGGAAGGCGGAGACTGCAGGAACTCTGGGATAGCTACCCACAGTGCAACGCTCCAAAAGTCGATGCTAGCCTCGACGCACTCCGCCAACTTAATGTGCTTAGTGGGGACACACACAATTGACTGTATAAAATCGCTTTCTAAAAATCAACTTCTATAAATTCGACCTAATTTCGTAGTGTAGACATAAAGGCAGGGAGGCAAGGGACAGTGCATGGGGGAGGATTAATGAGTTTAGTACAGAGGTGGGCAAACTACGGCCCGCAGGACCGTCCTGCCTGGTCCCTGAGCTCCTGGCCTGGGAGGCTCATCCCCAGCCCCTCCCCCGCTGTCCCCCTACCCCCGCAGCCTTAGCTCACTGCACCCCCAGCACAATGCTGTGGGCGGGGGGCTGCGAGCTCCTGGGGCAGCTCAGCTGAAGAGCCCAGCCTGACCCAATCTCTGGGCTGCGCGGCGGGTGGCTGGCTCCAGCCGGGGGGGCGCGGCTGCCTGACCTGGTCTCTGGGCTGCGCGGCAGGTGGCTGGCTCCAGCCGGGGGGGCGCGGCTGCCTGACCCGGTCTCTGGGCTGCGCGGCGCAGTTGCCTGTCCTGGTGCAGCCGCGCCGCCAGCCACTGGTGCTCCAGGCAGCACGGTAAGGGGGCAGGGAGCGGGGGTGTCGGATAGAGGGCAGAGGAGTTTGGGGGGTGGTCAGGGGTCAGGGGCATGGATAGTGATCGGGGCGGTCAGAGGGCGGTGAACAAGGGAATTGAATGGGAGCAGGGGTCTGGGGGGGCAGTCACGAAGGAGAGGAGTGTTGGATGGGGCGGTGGGGGGCAGTTAGGGTCGGGGGGCAATTAGGGGTAGAGGGTCCGGGGGCGGTCAGGGAGAAGGGGTGGTTGGATGGGGCAGGAGTCCCGGGGGGGCAGTCAGGGGACAGAGAGTGGGAGGGTAGATGGGGCAGGGGTCCCGGGGGGGCTGTCAGGGGGGTTGGATAGGGGGCAGGGGCCTGATCACGCTTAGCTGTTTGGGGAGGCACAGCCTCCTTTAACTGGCCCTCCATACAATTTCAGAAACCCGATGTGGCCCTCAGGCCAAAAACTTTGCCCGCCCTGGTTTAGTGGGACTGGAGGAATGAGTGTGTTTAGGAAGTACAGCTGACAGTAGCAAACAGCAGTGGATATGTGTGGGTTGCCACTTGTCATTCACCTGAACTAAAATGGGATGAACCATTGCTTCTAGCCCAGGCCGTGTTTCTGCTCTAGCACCTGCCGGCTGATGGATCACTCACCCATTTGGTTTTGATTTTATTTGGCCCGATTTATGTCACAATGTTTGCATGTTCAGTTGTCTTTAGCAGCTTCTACTTACTCCACATCTCGTTTTCTGATCACTCTCCCAGAGGCCATGACCTCAGCGACTTTGGACACAATTGGATCATAGTTCATACTAGCCACAGCAATCACCTCCTCGTTCCTACAACAAAGATCAGAGGCATGAAGGAGACACTGTGGGTAGTGAAGTGAATGGCTTTAGATGGACACTTTTTTCCTTCACAAAAGGGTAAACTCCTTGATGGAACCACCAGGGATTATGAATTTATAATTTCTTCCCAGCTTCAGGCGCCCCCTTTACCCCATGTGCTTCCTACCTCAGGCAACAGCACCTGGCAAGGGAGAGCGGTCAGTGAGCAGCGTGCAGGCAGGCACTGGTAGGAGCCCTGGCTCCATGCCTGGTCCCAGCTTTGCCCATGGGACAGCATAGCTACACCCTGCCCCTAGTCAGGGCAGTACGGTCTGACCCTATGGCGCTCTGACGTGGCTTTAAATACTAAAATAACCCAAAACATTTTTTTGAGGTGGAAAAAAAAATGTCCAGCTGCCTCTGGAGAAAGAGGGCAGAACTTAGACAACATGGTAGATATTGTACTAAAGATGTGATGCCTTCTAGTATGCATAGAAATCACAGTGCTGCGGGTGGTGGGAAAATTAGGTGAATGTGATTCTAGCCTTTTATTTTCTTTGCCGGTATGTTAAAAAGTGCCTAGAAACAAAGTGAAATGGTTCATTGCAAGTTGAACAAAATGGTTTGTCAACTTTTTCCAATCATCACATTTTTTCAGAGATTTTGGATTAGGTCTGGTTGAGCTGAAATGTAAAAAAAAAAAAGCTTTTTTAGAAATGCCAGCAAACTGAGAAATCATTTATTCTCCCAGCTCTAATAAGGACCATACCTAATAATGTACAATGGTTTTTCACTGCTAAAAAGAGTTGGGAAATGTCATACAGACAAATAGACATGCAGTCTGTGCAGAGCACTTGAGCCTAAATCAAAATGAACCTGTGCAGCATTCAAGTGACTATTACGCTTCTGACAAGACTACAGAGTGTTCATGACTTCTCTGAGACCTGCAAAGCCATTTGTGAATAGAACAGCATGAAAAGCAATGCAATCCCTGCCCAGAGTAAAGTAAGAAATAGTCCAGTAAGAGGGTCCTTATGTATCAAAGTGCAGGGACGGAGTGACAATAAAGTACTTAAACTCAATACCCACCTGCAGAAGTAAAGAAACAGATTGATAGAGCCAGAAGAGTTCCCAGAAGTTACCTACTACAGGACAGGCCTAACAAAGAAAATAACAGAACGCCACTAGCGGTCACCTTCAGCCCCCAACTAAAACCCCTCCAACGCATTATTAAGGATCTACAACCTATCCTAAAGGATGACCCAACACTCTCACAAGTCTTGGGAGACAGGCCAGTCCTTGCCTACAGACAGCCCCGCAACCTGAAGCAAATACTCACCAACAACCACATACCACACAACAGAACCACTAACCCAGGAACTTATCCTTGCAACAAAGCCCGTTGCCAATTGTGCCCACATATCTATTCAGGGGACACCATCACAGGGCCTAATAACATCAGCCACACTATCAGAGGCTCGTTCACCTGCACATCCACCAATGTGATATATGCCATCATGTGCCAGCAATGCCCCTCTGCCATTTACATTGGTCAAACTGGACAGTCTCTACGTAAAAGAATAAATGGACACAAATCAGATGTCAAGAATTATAACATTCATAAACCAGTCGGAGAACACTTCAATCTCTCTGGTCACGCAATCACAGACATGAAGGTCGCTATCTTAAAACAAAAAAACTTCAAATCCAGACTCCAGCGAGAAACTGCTGAATTGGAATTCATTTGCAAATTGGATACTATTAATTTAGGCTTAAATAGAGACTGGGAGTGGCTAAGTCATTATGCAAGGTAGCCTGTTTCCTCTTGTTTTTTCCTACCCCCCCCCCCCAGATGTTCTGGTTTAACTTGGATTTAAACCTGAAGAGTGGTCAGTTTAGATGAGCTATTACCAGCAGGAGAGTGAGTTTGTGTGTGTATGGGGGTGGGGGGGGATGTGAGAAAACCTTGATCTATGCAGGAAATAGCCCGACTTGATTATGTAAAGAGTTGTCACTTTGGATGGGCTAGCACCAGCAGGAGAGTGAATTTGTGTGGGGGGGTGGAGGGTGAGAAAACCTGGATTTGTGCTGGAAATGGCCCACCTGTTGATCACTTTAGATAAGCTATTACCAGCAGGACAGTGGGGTGGGAGGAGGTATTGTTTCATATTCTCTGTGTGTATATAAAGTCTGCTGCAGTTTCCACGGTAAACATCTGATGAAGTGAGCTGTAGCTCACGAAAGCTCATGCTCACATAAATTGGTTAGTCTCTAAGGTGCCACAAGTACTCCTTTTCTTTTTGCGAATACAGACTAACACGGCTGTTCCTCTGAAACCAATGATTCATCAGAGTGGTAGCAACAATAGGGATAGAAGAAAAATCAGCTGGATTTAGATACTTTTGAAAATCCCCATCATCCACCTATTTAGCTCGTTGAAAAGAATCATAAGAGGTGACAAGTACCTAGATTAAGGATTCTGACATCAAACAGCTCTTTAATCTACCATAGTCAGAACAAAGGTCCAATGGCTGGAAGCTGAAGATCTACAAATTCATACTAGAAATATGGCACTATGGCAAATTGCCGGCACTTCTATGATGGGTCTTGTGCTTTCTCTTCTTGGGGGGGGGGTGGTTCAGGGCACGATTTCTTGCCCCTGAACTGGGGTATTAACTGCCCCACTAGTGTCCTAGAGGAGGGGAGTGGAGAGGGAGGGACCTGGGCCCACCCTCTACTCTGGGTCCCAGCCCAGGGGCCCTCGGGATAGTGGTAAACCACTAGAACTAGCGGTTCCTTCGCCTGGGCTACTTCCCTCTCCTGCCCTTCAACTTGTGGGGCTTCCTGCTCTCCCTCTGCACAAACCAGGTGTCCCTTTACCTAGGGTCTTGATCTTCTTAGCCCACCGCAGCACTTCTCCAAACTCGCCTTTGCTTCCCTCCAAACTGCTCTCTGCTCCAACACCAATCCACTCTGCTTCAACTCCTCCCCTTGTCTGATTGAAGCAGGGGGTTTTATCATGTGAGTGGCTTCAGGTGCTTTAATTGGCTTCAGGTGCTTTAATTAATTTATAGCAAAGTTTCTTCCCTCTACAGGGAATAAGGCTCCCTTCTAACGCTCTCCTGCTGCCCTCTGGCCATGCTGTATCACACACACATTTTTACCAGTGAGCGTAATTAACCTTTGGAAGAATTTACCAAGGGATCTGGTTAATTCTCCAGTTCTTTGCAAGTGTCCCACAGGAAATCGGACATTGAATGGGATGATGGATAAGCTTGAAGAGGCAGTTGTTGATGCTATTGAGCTGAATAACATTCTGTTTTGAGATCTCAAATACACCGATGGCGTTGTCCTGTTGGCTCAGTTGGGTGAATTGCTGCAGCCAGGCAAGAAGTAGTGCATACAGGTCTGATTATTAATCTGGATAAAATTCAGTCCTGGCCCCTGCTATCAAGCATTCTCCAACTCCAGATTTCAACCAGCTCACTATTAACCAGTCCAGACTAGACATCGAGCAGGTGGCAACTGGCAAATACTTGAAGTGTCACAGACAGTGCTGGAGGTTGCTCAAGAGAGGCGGGCACTTGTATAGCAGCAGCTGCTGCCATGTTTCAGGCCCTTCATCAGCCTCTGTTGCAATGTCATGACATTAAACTTGCTACAAAGCTGTGGCTCTATAGAGCCACGGTTCTACCCACTCTGTTGTACGCCAGTGAAACATGCGTGCTGAGGAAGGCTAATGAGCATTTGATTGATGTTTTCAGTTCTTATCGTCTTCATCAGTTTCTCCTTATTAAGAGGCAGGACAAGATCAGAAATGAGGATATTTGAAGCTGAACCCAGCAATGGCTTCCATCAGCAATGGTTTGGTTTTGGTGACTTTCTTGGCACAGACATGTTATTAGGATAGAAGACCAACAAATCACGAAGTGTGTTTACCCAGGAATGCCACTACTCAGCTAGTGGTCATGTGGTCACCTGAAGCTTTGGTGGTGCGATAAGATTGCCAGTGATGGGCATAAACTGAACATCCAGCCAGCCTGCAAGGTGGCGCTTGTTCTTCAAGGAGGTCATGTCCCTTTGGGATTTGCCATGATGGTGATGATGACAGGAAATGGGGGAGGGGCTTCAGGAAGCCACTTATACCTACTGGATTCTGAAGGTGAATCTGCACTGGCCGGGCACAACAGTGCAAAGTTTCAGGGCTGCTGTAACTTTCACCAAGTGAAACTTTCACCAAGGTCCTTATGGGACCTTGTACCAGTTATGCATTGGCCTGGTGAAGTAATCTCCATCCGTACCCCTCTCACTCTCAACACCCCTCAGCCCCCATCAGAATGTTAATGGTCATTGGTCTAGGAGCCAGCTATGACATTTTATGCCAGGTGAGAGCTCCCCACCACTCGAGATTTTCTTAGCCAACTAGCTGAGGCCAGAGTATGCAGGTGGCAACAAAATGGTTTGAACATGAGGAGAGCATCTGGGCCTTTAAACCAAGATTGGATGCCATTATGAAAGATACCCCCTACCTCAGCCACTAGTTACTGGGCAGGATGCAGGAATCACAGAGTGAAATTATCTGGCCTGTGTTAAGCAAGAGAGCAGACCAGTTGATCAGAATGGTCCTTTCAGGCTTTAACATCCCTGAGCCAGATTCTTAACCAGTGTAAATGGGCATAGCTCCAGTGAAGTCATACTTCAGTCACCAAACTGTCTCTCTTCTCCCACCTCAACAGCATGTTTGCAGCAATCACTTTAAAAACTATGTTGAAAAATGATTTTTTAAACACAGTAGAAACTAGTGTGGACAGGCCTTAGAAGAACAGCAACAGAGCCTGATTAACCTACATTAGACTCCAACACTGCTCCCATACCTCCAGGTGTCACAGCAATGACACCCAGATCTGTGTTGTACACAATCTTGGGTGAAAACCAATAATCCTCAAGCAACTAACCCAAACACTAGCAGGCTAGTACCCTGCCTGCTGGGAATGCCAGACAAGTTACAAACT